GGTTACAGCTATTGCATTAAACTCAGAAACAGTCAGTAGATCAGTCTCTGTCCTAACCCCCAATGTCACTGTTAGTGTGTTGTTCCTAGAAATATTGCAGCAGTTCTTTAGAATTAGGACTTTCTACAACTTTTAGTTGCTCAGGCACCACTGCTACAGGTTGTTTTTGCATTCCTTTTGTTTTATTGAAACTGAGGACTGCTTTTCCTCCAGCCACTGGCCTTTCATTATTTAACCACATCTGAGAGCCCACAAGAGAAGCTGGACTGAGGGAAAGGAGCACCGGTGGCCTTCTAGCTCCATCTACCAGACATGGTGATCTGCTCCTGAGACAATGTTGCCAAGTAGAAACTGGAGGCTCCCTTCTAGAGAAACCGTCCTTACCCTTGTTTCACACACACTGCCACTGCCCCTGCAACACTCCATGGCCAGGAAGCTGAGGAGAGCGACCCCAGCGCCTGTGTTTCTCTTCATCCTCCCCCAGAGGAGTTGGGTCTATACCATATTGGGCAACACGGGGGTACTGAAGAGAGTATCGTAGGAGAAAACCCAGGAGGCTTTCATTCTCAAGGATAAAATCACTTAATTGCTAATATCTTCCGACATTTGCAAGAAAGAGGTGTTTTCTTCTGTTACTGAGTGGAAGTGTGTGTGTGCGCATGTGTGTGCACGCAGGTGCGCGCATGTGTGCCTGTGTGTCCTCTTCATAATTATTAATCGGAATACTCAAGTAAATGGGACCCAAAAAACAAATGAGCTCTCCAAATGATTGGAGCTGCTAACGCTTTGCCTATTTACCAGGTGCCTATTCACTGTCAATCCGAGATTGGGATGATATGAAAGGAGACCATGTCAAACATTATAAAATTCGCAAACTTGACAATGGTGGATACTATATTACCACCCGGGCCCAGTTTGAAACACTTCAGCAGCTTGTACAACATTACTCAGGTAACCCTAATTCTAACTAACTACTAACCACTGGTACCCTGGAGGGAATGGGTAGGCACTGGGGGCGTGGGGGGGTGGGAGGGCTGTAGCGGGGGGGGGGCTGCGGGGGGGGGGGGGAAGAATAAAAGCATATATGAGGTCAGCAGTGACAGTTTTCTTTGCCAGCCACACAAGGTGGGGCTTCGCTGAATAGGTTCTATCGATGTCTTTCTACCAGAGTTATTATTAGTTCCATACATTTACCAAAAGAGCTACGGATGCGATCAGGGGTGAGGAGGATGGCTATTACATTTTTGTAAATGATCCTTACAAAATGCTTCCTTCCCTTGATCTCATTTAAAGGTGGTACTTTGGAAAACTTGGCCGAAAAGATGCTGAGCGACAGCTTTTGTCCTTTGGAAACCCGAGAGGTACCTTTCTTATCCGTGAAAGTGAAACCACCAAAGGTAAGATAAGGAGTTAACGAACTTGGTTGTCATTCAGATCTATGGATTAGTCAGAGGGGATGAAAGGCTTATCTGTAATGTACAAGGATTTTTAAATGGCACATATCCTCCCCACCTTGTGAGCAGAGTCCTATTTTCAGTTTTCCCTCCAGGCTCTGGAGTCCTTTCGGACTCCAGAGGCTCAGAATCAAGCCTTCCTCCGGAAATGGGGGCCGGGCAGCTTCATTCCTGCAGGCATGCAAGATCATAGAATTTGCAGCAGTTCTTTAGAATTAGGACTTTCTACAACTTTTAGTTGCTCAGGCACCACTGCTACAGGTTGTTTTTGCATTCCTTTTGTTTTATTGAAACTGAGGACTGCTTTTCCTCCAGCCACTGGCCTTTCATTATTTAACCACATCTGAGAGCCCACAAGAGAAGCTGGACTGAGGGAAAGGAGCACCGGTGGCCTTCTAGCTCCATCTACCAGACATGGTGATCTGCTCCTGAGACAATGTTGCCAAGTAGAAACTGGAGGCTCCCTTCTAGAGAAACCGTCCTTACCCTTGTTTCACACACACTGCCACTGCCCCTGCAACACTCCATGGCCAGGAAGCTGAGGAGAGCGACCCCAGCGCCTGTGTTTCTCTTCATCCTCCCCCAGAGGAGTTGGGTCTATACCATATTGGGCAACACGGGGGTACTGAAGAGAGTATCGTAGGAGAAAACCCAGGAGGCTTTCATTCTCAAGGATAAAATCACTTAATTGCTAATATCTTCCGACATTTGCAAGAAAGAGGTGTTTTCTTCTGTTACTGAGTGGAAGTGTGTGTGTGCGCATGTGTGTGCACGCAGGTGCGCGCATGTGTGCCTGTGTGTCCTCTTCATAATTATTAATCGGAATACTCAAGTAAATGGGACCCAAAAAACAAATGAGCTCTCCAAATGATTGGAGCTGCTAACGCTTTGCCTATTTACCAGGTGCCTATTCACTGTCAATCCGAGATTGGGATGATATGAAAGGAGACCATGTCAAACATTATAAAATTCGCAAACTTGACAATGGTGGATACTATATTACCACCCGGGCCCAGTTTGAAACACTTCAGCAGCTTGTACAACATTACTCAGGTAACCCTAATTCTAACTAACTACTAACCACTGGTACCCTGGAGGGAATGGGTAGGCACTGGGGGCGTGGGGGGGTGGGAGGGCTGTAGCGGGGGGAGGGCTGCGGGGGGGGGGGGCAGAATACAAGCATATATGAGGTCAGCAGTGACAGTTTTCTTTGCCAGCCACACAAGGTGGGGCTTCGCTGAATAGGTTCTATCGATGTCTTTCTACCAGAGTTATTATTAGTTCCATACATTTGCCAAAAGATCTCGCTGTGTCTCTCTCTGTTAAATAAATAAATAAAAATCTTTAAAAAAAAAAAAAAGACTCTATACAACATTCTAGTTCCCAAGTACAAAGCAGTAAGTTAAATTGTAAACGTTGTCATCTTTTCCTGTTCCCCTGGGGTCTGTAATCAGAAACCGTGACAGGAGAGGAAGCAGTGTCTGGGAGGGAGCTCACAGGGGGGCTCCTGCTGGGGGCCCCCAGTTCACACTCAGCACTCAACAGGAATGGCTGCACATACTTTTCATTCCCATGACCAGATGAATTTTTCAATCCATTTATCATGTTCTACTTCCCCACCCATCTAGTTTCCTAACTAGATGTAGACTACGTTACCCATAGCTCCTAGCTCGGTTACAGCTATTGCATTAAACTCAGAAACAGTCAGTAGATCAGTCTCTGTCCTAACCCCCAATGTCACTGTTAGTGTGTTGTTCCTAGAAATATATACTTATTAGGTGTTTAGGTGCACAGTCTGTACATTTTAGTTAAGGATGTGGTCTTATATACAGGTGTCAAAATAATCACTTTCTTTCCAAGATTAGGAAGAGTATCCCACTATATAACATATACACACAGGTGGATTTTTATATAGATACATATGTACAGATATAGATCTATGTCCCATTAAACCCAGTAGTTTTTTTGTGATCTGTATATGTGTGTGTACACATATATACACACATATACATATATATATGCATCCCCACATACACACATTTTATATTGTTCTTCAGGACAATAACAAAACCCCAAAATAGCACATGACTTGACCTCAACTATTGCTCTATGTACATTCGTTTAAAAAAAATGTGTGTATAATTTTTTAGAACCTAAAAAAGCAATCTTTTGAAAATGGCAATCTTTTAAGAAATGCCTATCGATTGATCCTGGGCACTAATGAAAAAGTGAAAAAATTAACAACACTTGGAGTACTCGTTGATTAGGGCATTGGGTAGCTTTAGTTTACGTGGATTCTAATGAAATATTTAGTAGAAATGAAGCAGACTATCTGCCTGAGCTTAAGCAACATCCTCGAAATGCCTGCATGTGTAAGGATTTTTCAAATGCCAAAATATATTTCATTACAGCCAAACATCAGCAGGATCCCCAGGGTTTGGATCATTTGAAAATATTGTGTTGGAAAGGGCACCTTAATAACATCGTAAAGCTGGAAGGAGAGGAGGGATATGAAGAGCAATAGACTTCTTTTAATCTTAAAAAAAAAAAAAATCCATCTCAAGTTAGATTTGTTTTTATATTGGCTTTTGCTCTTCCCTCTTTCTCTCTCCCACACAACAAAGTGCCTTTGAAATATTGACACATAAATAATTTCCTGCCTAAACATCTCAGAACCGGACTCTACCAAAAAGAAAGGAGTAAAAAGTAACTTAGAACTGGTTCCCAGAGAAAAGACAACAACACTACATATGATTCCCCTGGATCTGAAGGGCCCCCAGTGGGGTGCGGTGGGGCGGGGCTCTGTCCACCTCACAAGCCAGGCTCTCTCCAGCCTTTGTCACTGCCCTGATTCCTCGTGCTTTGTTACCTTTTCTTACCTGACGGATGTTTCACTTGGCATTCAGGCAATTTCCCCCCCTCACCACTGCTAGATTCTAAAAGGTATATTCTTAAAAAAAAAAGAGAGAAAGAGAGAGAAGAAAAAAATTCCAAATAACCCAATAGTGATAACTTTTTTCCTTTGTCTTTTTCGTAGTAGATAGAGTGCTTTCACATCCTTGAGTTTCTGCAGATTTCAGTTTCCTTTCTTTCTGCTTTGAAACCAGATTTCTAAATTATACATTGGAGACTGTCATAAAGATTTTTTTTTTATGGGAAATATCAAAGAAGCGAGAGTATCTGACTGGTAGAATAGAGTCAGTTAAAATGCCAAAGAAATCCTAGAGAAATGTGACCTCTTTTTCCCCTGCCAGGTATAATCTTCAGTCTTACTAGTTTATAACAGTCTAACATTCTATGGAAAAAAATCCTGTACTGAAGTTACAATTTTAAATATATTTAAAGCAAAGAAAGTCCCTAAACCCTTGATATTAGAGAGGGAGGGGACAGTCGTGCTGAAATTCTGTAGTCCAAAGGTACCTTTTGAAATCAGTGGAGGTATTTTAGGGTTCCAGAGACATGATCTTAGCATATTGGGTGGAAAATGTTTTTCTTCCTTAGTATAGAAACCAAAACAGCCATACCTGTACCTGTATATTTGTGTAGCCTATATTATACCTGGAGGCACAGAGCAGTTCACATCTGAAATGTCCTCTGTCCTACCTCCAATGAACATGTTTCAATGTGTGGTGTCTAATCTTCCAAGATATGTGCAGTTCTCTGCTGATGTAGCACTGTTTTGAGCAACGCTGTGCGCTCGCTGGATTTGTACGACTATAAGTGTTGTCTCACGTGTTCTGCTTTTCTCTCCCTCTCCTGCTGCTGTCCCCATTCCATCAGAGAGAGCCGCAGGTCTCTGCTGCCGCCTAGTAGTTCCCTGTCATAAAGGGATGCCAAGGCTTACCGATCTGTCTGTCAAAACCAAAGATGTCTGGGAAATCCCTCGAGAATCCCTGCAGTTGATCAAGAGACTGGGAAATGGGCAGTTTGGGGAAGTATGGATGGGTATGCTGAGACTCAATTATTCTATTACTAGCTCTCTCGTTTGGGAAGTCCCAAACATCAAAGATGGAAGGTGAAAAATAAAGATTTTATGACCCGGAAGAAGGTTTAAATTACTAATAGTGGGGAATTATACATTTGATTTGGATTTCAAAACTGGAATTTCCAAAAGAGAGATAGTGGTCAAGATTGGCAGATGGCTCAAATTATGCTATGATAGGAGTTTCAATTCATAAGCCAGAAAATAGTACAAGGAATGTTGCAGCCTGCACAAATGCCTTGCCTTTCATTTTCAAGTGCAGATGTTTTCCCAGTGAAATCAGTGTCTCCTTAAAGGGGAAGTCACCTTCCATCTTTCCTAGTGCATGCATAATTATGGATTATAAGGACTGTGTTTTCTTTATTAATTCCCTTTCCTGTAGAGAAAGCTGATGGTTTATGTTTTAACTTAACTCTGATTGCATCGAGTTGTACCCCACAAACTTCTGGATTGGCTAAAGATGCTTGGGAAGTTGCACGTGATTCATTGTTTCTGGAGAAGAAGCTGGGTCAGGGGTGTTTCGCTGAAGTGTGGCTTGGTAAGGCAGAGGGCACATTTCATTTTGGCTGCATTTGAAAGCCAATTAAAAAGACAGTTTGGGGCAAAAATACCCACACAGTCATCGGGACCAAGACATTTAACCTGGGTAACTAGCTAGGCACAGGACATCCAGATTTTGAGAATATGGTGACACTTTGCTGTACTTTTCCATCCTTCTTCATATGGTTAATGAAGGCAGGCTCACACAGAACAAAAAACCAATACAATAAGAATCCGTTGTTTCCTCTTCCTAAGGCCTAGGAAGGTAAGATACTATAGGTGGGTTACTATAGGGAAAGACCATGGGCTTTTTTGTTCAATGGGCCTGGGTTTGAATCTTTACTAGCTGATTAACGTGGGCAAGGGGCTAATTTAACCTCTTTGAGCCTTAGTTCCCTCATCTGTAAAATTGGAATGATACCTACTTTATAAGATTGAGGATTACATAGGACAATATACTTAGAGTCCCTGTGCATAATAGATGCTCAGTAGACACTCCTATTTCTCTTAATTTGGTTGTCAGTCGTTGATAAGGCTAACTGTACTGGGCGCCTCCCACTGCTTTTATAACACCCTTTGGGTCAGTTGCAGCTTTGCTTAGAGAAAATCCATGATTTTGGCCCCACCCAAGCACATCTGTCAGTGAGACAGATGTTGGTGCTTATGGAATCCTCCTTCTTTCCTTCTTAGATTCAATTAAAAACAATAAAGAGAGGTACCTGTTGCTATGTGTAGCTGTAGGTGTTTAGGGTGGTCAGCATTAAAAGATTTAACACAGTTAAAGCACTTGGAACAGAGCCTGGCAAGGCATAAGTATTACAAAGACATAGATGTAGCAATAAGGTTAGAGATGGACACTCAGACATACACATTTATATGTGCATGTGTAAGCTACTATATAGGAAGTGTATATAAATGTCTTTTATATAAATGGCCTTCCTCTCCCTCATCCGCCCAATTTATAATTGAAGTTGTGGATGCCAAGGATTTTAATTCAATCACTTATACAGTCAGGAAGAATCAGACATTATACAAAAATTTCTTTTCAAACTTTATAGTTATCAACTTTAAGTCATTATGCCATATTATTAAGAATCTGTTTCCCACTGAACATAAAACATCATGTTATGGTAGTTCAGGATCAGGATGGAATGCCAGTGAGACTAACTAGGTTGTTATTAGAGAAGAAACTCTATTTAAAATTTGGGGATGTTAACAGCACTTGAATAGCAAAGACCACTTACAGATTGTCAGATTTTTCCATTTACATTTAGTGGTCAGATATTTTATAAAGTTTGAATTAACTCTTCTTTAAGCCACTGTTCTTTCATAACTTAGATTTTTATGGGTTGCATTTTGTAATTATATGAACCATGTCTTGAACAGGATGACAAAAGTTTACAGAATTTTTTAATTCTAAAATCAATTATATTAAATATAAAAATCTTAATTAATTTAAACCAGTTTTCTTTTCTAAATAAAAAAGGCATAATCTAACTTAGCAGATTTTCCTGTTTCTCTTAGAGTTTTAAGTCAAAGTCATAGGACTAATAATGGAATACACATTGAACCTAGAGTTTATTTTTTCTTAATTTTGGGGCTGAAAGAGATTCAGAAGATAATCCAGTTCCATTCCTATATTTTACAGATGAGGCAACCAATGATCATAAACCAGGCCTGTCTCTGTACCTACTTGATTTTAGCATGTTATGCCTAAATATTTCTGTTCCCTCTTAGCTGCTGTTTAATTTTTTCACTCTTAACTGATAGAAGCTATTGTTCTTGTGGCTGATCATCAGTAAACCTGAGGAATTTTCCTTACCTGGTTGAAGTATGGGGCAAGTAGACCATGAGCTTCTTGCCAATGCTCATCAGCATACTTGTAATCTTACTTATATATCAGCTGTTCAAGGACTCAGTCAAGTAGCCCATCCACTGCAGACTGTTAAAGTCTAGAGGTAATCTCCAGACATCCTCAGTGTGTTGCCATGTTTTTTTTAAATGATGGAACTTAATCGAGTTTCTTCCATGCTGACTCTACTACCTAAGAGATAGCTATGGGATAGCCTGGCCTGTTCTAACCTTTGGGCTTTCGTCCTTGTAAAGAAGTATCCAGAGCTTTTGGTACCAATTTGTAATCACATGGGTGAGCCCTAGAAAAGGAAAGCAGCACGTATCAAAATAAAAGTTACAAGAATTATAAACCATAATATAGTGATAAGGAAACACATTTTTCCTATTGAAAATATTTGACAGAGTCCTTATATTTGATTGTCCTTGTTCAACAAAAAAAGATACTAAGTTTTTCCAAGTTAAACTCTAACTTTATGCAAGTAGCTATTGATTTAAAAGCTTTTTTTCTCCCCATCAAAAGAGGATCTTGGATTTGACTTAATATTGTGCGATGTGTGCAGGTACCTGGAATGGAAACACAAAAGTAGCCATAAAGACTCTTAAACCAGGCACAATGTCCCCGGAGTCATTCCTTGAGGAGGCACAGATCATGAAGAAGTTGAAACACGACAAGTTGGTCCAGCTCTACGCGGTGGTGTCTGAGGAGCCTATCTACATTGTCACTGAGTACATGAATAAAGGTTGGGCCCCACCTCACAGTTGACCCACAGGGTTGTTTTCAGGAAAGAAATGGCAGTGCTTGCTTGCTTTTTTCCTAATTTCTGTATGAGTCAAGGATTCCCATCGGGAAGCACAAATTGTGTGCTCATTAATGAGAACATTTTTAAAACAGACCATGACCTTGAGCTTGCTGCCCAGATCCTTATAAAATGCAGCACCTTCTGCACGTTGCATGTGTCAGGAGTCCCAGCTCCTGGCCATAATGAAAGCATTCATTTTTAATATCAGGGGTGGTGTGGAGAGCTATGATCATTTGCTATCACTTCAAATGCCATGGGCTAAATTTCCTTTTTCAGGGCTGAACAGTTAATATCAGACACAGGTCTCTGGGCTCAATTTAGTCTCCATCTTCTCAGCACCTTTGTTTTTCCAGCTCTCTTCTTAAACATCAAACAAAGAAAGACATGCTTTTAAAGAGCACATTTTTTTAAGATTGATTTATTTATTTGAGAGAGTGAGAGAGTACAAGTTGGAGGGGCAGAGGGAGAAGGACAGAGAGTCTCAAGCAGACTCCACGCTGAGTGCAGAGCCTGATGCAGGGCTCAATCTCACGAGATCATGACCTGAGCCGAAACCAAGAGTTGGACGCTCTACTGACTGTGCTACCCAGGCGTCCCAAAGAGCACATTTTATTCTCATTCTCTCTCTTTCTAATCAAAGCATTATTGCCAGGAATAAGGCCAGAGATCACTTTGTTTTGGAAAAATAGACAAAGCAAACAAGAAACAACTTTAAAAGGCATCAGAGGACACCAGTGTAATTTTTCCTTTCCACGTACTTTCTTTTTAAATCTATTTGGAATTCTTTTTTTCCTGGCAGGCTCTTTGTCCTTTGTATCCAGGGTTATATGGTAAATAACTTTGTGATTAAAGCATGAGAGCAATCACTAATGACCATTGTGAGCCTCCAGCCTCTGCACGTGATTGTTTCAGCTCTGGTGTTGGTCCTGAGCTCCTGAGGCTGGGTTGTCCCAATGACTCTGAAGCTTCAGCTATTTGTTTCAGGTATCCTTAAGGCCTGGCGGGCCCTGATCTAGCATGCAGAGCTACCTGCCCCACTCTATATTCCTCAGATACTCTTTCCTTGATTTAAAATCTATAAAGAAGCGAGGCCAGTGATTCTCAAACTTTGCCAGGTGTCAGAATCACTCAGGGGGTTTCTTACATTACAGGTTTCTGGGCCCAGCCTCCAGAGTGTCTGATTCTGATTCTGATTCTTGGGTAGAACGCAAGAGTTTGCATTTCTAACAAATTCCCCAAGGGATGCTATCCCTGCTGGTCCCGGGAACACACTTCCGGAACCATGCGGCTGGGCAGCATCTTCCCCACGTCACTCCTCCGTTTGGGGCTGCTGGGGGATGAGGCTGAAGTGGTGCAGCTCCCCACGTGTCCCCACGTGTCCCCCCGTGTCCTTCTTTGTGACATACAGGGAATCGCATCCCATGTTTTGCGATTTAATCAAACCTTTGTTGTCCTTAGAAATGGAGTCACCATTGTTTGTTTCTGAAAGATAAAACTGCTGCCTCTCAATGCACAGTTTTTTCTACCCTCCTTTTTTTTTTGTATAAATCTTTTCTTCATTGATGGCATTATTCATTCAACCACCTCATTACTTCTAATAAGAAAACCAAATACAGCCCTTTGTGAGGCATTTTTATCTTTCAGAGTAAATTGAAATGGTTTTATGTTTTGTTCACAGGAAGTCTACTTGATTTCTTAAAAGATGGGGAAGGAAGAGCTCTGAAATTACCAAACCTTGTGGATATGGCAGCACAGGTAGGCTACGTGGCCCTTTGACTCCCGCCTGAGGTTTAGCGATGTGTAAGTACATCGAGTCGTGGTGTGACATGTGTCCTGTTCCTCGGTTCCCACAGGTTGCTGCAGGAATGGCTTACATCGAGCGCATGAATTACATCCACAGGGATCTGCGATCAGCAAACATTCTAGTGGGGAATGGACTCATCTGCAAGATTGCTGACTTTGGATTGGCCAGATTGATCGAGGACAACGAGTACACAGCAAGGCAAGGTGGGCATTTAAATAGGAAGGCTCGTGATCACATCCTTGAGAGCAGTTGCTTACTGCACAATCCTTCCTCTCTCCTTCCCTTCCCTTCCTCCAGAAAATATTTGAAATGGCATTCTTCGGCTGAGGTTTTTCTTCTTGATCTGGCAGGAATCTGATAGCTCTGCGGGTGGGAGACTATAGTGGGTTCAACAGATGGGCAAGATGTTGCTTTCTGGTGAGTGAGTGTCCACCATTGTGGTCTTCCTGGCTTATGCTGCCCTCCTCACGTCCAGGCCTGGGACGCTTTGCCTTTGGGGAAAGAGGGCTTTAAAAGGCCAAAAGAGAAGTCAAATAATAGCTCGTCATTCCCTCAAAGTCTCAGCAGAACACACAAACACGCTCATTGGAGAGTTTAATCAAGGAGTTATTTATAAAGGCATGGGCGGAGTGAGGAAAACCAACACGGCATAGTGTGCTATCCTAGAGCTAGTAAGTAACAGCCACCCACCGAGGCCAGAAGGGCAGTGGGGAGGGGGCTGCCGCCAGAGCTAAGGACAAGAGACCACATTTGGCAGAGAAAGGCCAGGCGTGGATCAGGCGATTCGTACCTGAGCTCAGCCTTCGGGCCTCCTGCAGGTGTCCTGCCCAACCCGGCAGGAAGCCAGAGGTCAGAGGAGCCCACTGATGAGTCCAGCTGGGTCAGGAGCTGGGAGGAGAGCAGAAAAGGGATCTAGAAGAAGGAGAGAAAATAACAGTGTCACCCGAGCAGCCCACCCCTCTAAATCATCTCCCTCCCTTCTCCCTCCCCCAGAGATCTGTAGAAATCAGGCTCTAGACTAAACACATCCCAAACCAGCAGCCACTCTGGTGGGGAGCTTTTGGGCTACTTTTAGAGCACCCGATGCCAGGGAGGGAATTCCCAGGGTTATCTTCTACCACCCCGGATCTGCACACAGTGGTAAGCAGGTAAGTGTGTGGAATGAAGTGTGCTGTTTGCGGTTGAATACAGGCTTCTCCTGTAGAACGTAACGCTCGCGTCGGAAGGAGGGGGTAGGCTTCATGGCTGTTGTTTTTAAGCAAGCCTAGGCACTCTGAGCAGGGCTGGGTGCTGACTAGAATGCACTGCAGGACAGTGCTTTCTGCTCGATTTCACAGTGGCCACCCTGGAATTCCGATCCTCTCTTTCTTTTTAAATTCTTTCATTTCACGCCAGTTCTTCCCTCATCGTTCTCAGCGGTCTCAAGTGATGAGGAGAATGGCTAAACGAAGACCCTGGCTAGTGCAGATACCGTCCAGATACTCAGTCACATGTTGGTCAGACAGCTCGGCTCTTTGAATGTCCCCAACACATGGCAGTTCTTGTCCTGGAGCCAAATGCCCGCACCGTGAGCATGCCCACACGCACCCGCGCGCACATCCACACACCCGCACGCACACTACTGCGGGGCCAGATGGCAGACCGTGTCCCTAATCAAAGGCACACGGGCAGCTGCGATTGGCACTGGTTGTCCAGAGAGAAGTGTGGATGTGATTTTAAGTCAAGGTGAGCTGAGAGGGTCTGCAGTGTCACTGGGTCTGAGACCTGGCCCTAAAGGAGAGCTCACCCCACAGCAAACCCATCCCATCCCAACTCACAGACCCAGGAGGAGGGGGAGCAGGTGAAGGTTTGGAGACATGAGTATTTGATTCGGAAAGAGGTGAGACTGGAGTCAGTCTCAGCAATCAGTCGCGAAAGCATCCTTGCATGCGTGAGTAGAGTCCTGGTGCCAGATGGGGCAGTCCAGGATTTGTCCCTCCCCTTCTCCCAGACTCTGGACTCTACAGAACTTGTGGTTACAAATTCTGGCCTTGAACCATCCAGAAGGTTGCAGGGCACAAACCAAGGATGTTGACAGGGGTGCCGCTGACAGGGCTGGAGGTTTAATCCATGGAGTGCGGTCCTCTGGCTGTGGCTCTGGGTGCCTGGTGCCCGAGGGGAAGGCGTGTGAGAGCCCCTCACTGGTTTCCCTGACAGCACGCTTCTGCGATGGAGAAGCCCTAGCCATCACATCCCACCCTCGTCCCCTGCCGGCTGTCCCCATCACCCTTCTGGTGGCTTCCTAACCCCCACCATCACTGTCCCACATGCTGTCCTGATGCCTTTTGAAGGATCAGCTTCATACCCTTTGTACCATGTTTGCTTAACTTCCAAACAGAGCTCCACCCATCCCTCTCAAAATGCTTCTTGCTTCTCTCTTCCCTTTCACAAATACCTTCACATCCACGCCAGACACTGGAAAGAGATAAGTAAGGAAAAGTAAATGACGTGGAGAACTGAACTTGGGGAAAAACAAAGGCTGTGGGGCTCCAGGATTTGCAAGGAGAATAAAAGAAATGGTCTCCTGCAGCAGAGGGAGAGGAAGGAGCTGGGGCGTTTGCAAGGTATCTGCCGAGAGCCAGGCCTGAGAGGGTAGATGTGAAGAGTGCAGAGGGAAATGATAGAAATAGACTCAGAGGGGTTAAGTAAGTTGTACAAAGTCCCACAGCTAGTAAAAGGGCAGAGGCAGGATTTGAGTCCGGGTATGGCCAGCACTGTTGCTCCTGCTCTCATAAGCTGTACTGACTGCCTCTCAGCAAGACAGTCATTTAAAAGACAAAAACCAAAAACTAAGATTAGGCATGAGTCCCATTTTCCCTTTATTTTATGGGAAAGTTTTTAAAGGGGGAGCTTCTAATGTGCATGTGTGAGGGAGTTTGAAAGAGCTTCATATTCCAGCTCTGGGACAACCCAGCTGTTTATAAAATTCCTCCCGAGGGTCTGGCCTGCCCCGGCCTCTTCATGAGGCAGAAAGGGCCTGGTGTGTATCTGTTAGTGTACTCTGCAGATGGCATGCGTGCTGCATGCTAAAGTTTCTGCTGGGGAGTAATCAGCTCCTCCAGACAGCTGGTCCATGTGCCTGATCATATTTACAAGTCGGGTTTTATGATACCCACAGGCCACGACCAGGATAAATCTTGATTATGGAAGTGTGGGCAGTGTTCAGAAGCAAGTGCCAAACACAGGTATTTGGGGACTGTGAGGGACAGTTGTTTTTCAACACAGTTGTGGGTTTCCCATCTAAGGCACACTGAAATGTCTGTCACCATCCCCCCTGTCCCGGGTGGATGTGGTGACATTTCCCAGGGCACAAGTAGAATTGAAATTTGGACATGTGTTAAACAGCCCTTCCTGTGTTCCTTTCCTCCTACCACCCCCTACCCTGCTGGACGGTAAGCAGAAGCCCATGTCAGGGAGAAGGTCAAGACCAGGGTCAGAGCCTGCGAGGGTGGTCCTCTGCCAACAGCCTTCTGGAGGCAACTCGAAATGATTTGGTATTGGTCTCTAGTACCTGTACGCTCCCTCCATCACAGCTGATCTTCTGTAGTCAAAAATATGTTGCTAAATTCTGTCCAGTCAGGGTCTCTGAGTAATGCCAGCATTAATTATGTGAATGCCTTGTCTGGGAAAGGGACTTTGCTAAGAGCTATTGATCTAGGGAAGCCTGAGACCGCACTGGGGAGGTCTGCAAGTGTGCAGAGAGACACACAGGAGCCATGCCGAAGCCACATAAAACCATCGCCTGGGGCCTTGGCCAAGTTAGTTAATTTTTCCACACCTCAGTTTGCTTATCTGTAAAGTGAAGATATATTTTACCTGCTTTGTGCTTTAATTTTTGCCAGGATAACTAAAAACAGTACATGTAAAGTGTTTAGCACATGCCCAGAACATGGCAGGTGGTAAATAAATACTCCTGTTATTATGTCCTGTACAAGACAGTCCTTGGGGAATAAACACATGCAAAGAATGGACGGTAGACACAATGGAAAGGCTCAAACACTCTGCTGGAAAGGGAGAGAGGAAGCAAAGATAATTCCCAGGTAGTCAAATGCAAGTATCATGAGAATGGAATTGCCAGTAATAGAAATGAGGGAGTCCAGAAGGAAGAGCTCATTTTCAGAGAAAGAGGGTGAGTTTGGTTTTGGGTTTGCTGAGCTTGAGGTGGTTGTGGTGGTATGTCCCAGTGCAGTGACCAGGCCCTCCCTGGGTACCACTGCCATGGGTGCTCACCTCCCAGCGCCTCCCTCCACTCCTGTCCTCTCCGCTCACACTGGCCTCTCACCCCCACCTGCACCGTCGCCTGAGGTCCACCCTCAGCCACCTCCCTACCCCAGCATCAGCAGAGCTAGGCTAGCCCCAGCCCCGCCTGTGCCTCAGCACCTGAGGCTCTGCTGTCTGTCTGTCCTCACACGTCCACACCTTGCCTCCTCCCATAACCACCAGCATGGGCGCCGTCACCAGGCCTTGCTTTCCAAGACTCCCAGCCCCTCCAACCATCAGTTCCTTCAAAGCTCACGCAGACAGACAGGAAGCAGTGGGAAAATTCTTGATCAACTCCATTTTCTTCTTCATAAGCTTTCAGGAAGCTCAGCACTGACTAGTTTTGATTTAAACCTTAAGCCAAAGACTTAGCTTGTGGATAAGAACAACTTGCTTTTGTGGACACTTATTTTTTATTGAGCCATAACATACATACAACAAAATGAGTAAATCTGACGTCTACAACTCAGTAAGTTTTTACACATTCATCTGCCCCTGAAACTACCTGCAGATGAAGACACAGAACACCACCAGCACCCCAGAAGCCCACCTTGTGCCCCGTCCAGCCAGGAGCCGCCTGAGCAGGTAGCCACTGTGCCCGCCTCTGTCAGCAGAGATTCCTTCCACTGGTGATGGAACTTCATATAAACCAGTCGTAGAGTCTTCCTCCCCCATGTCTGGCTTCTTTCCCACCATTATGTCTGTGAGGTTCATCCATGTTGCTGCACGTACCAGTTCTTTCCCTTTTATGCCTGAGCCATATTCCCCTCTGCAGATACATCAGTTTCTCTCTTCTACTGGTATTTCTGATTTGGGGCCATTATGAATGAGGCTGCCGTGGTGGTAGACAGAGGTCCTCCTATCTCTTGGATATATGCCAGGAATAAAACTGTTAGGGACACCT